TAGCATCAAACAGACATTACAAAAAGTAGCTTCAGCAAGAAATATTTTGTTTGATTCAACATAAAATTTATTACATATACTCTTTTAGTAAATGATGACAAAATTTTCATTTTTGGGTGGGTGAACTATACTTTTAATAATTTGTATTAATATTATTGCTATGGAAATATGAAATTATTTCTTTAATGAAATTATACTCTAAATAATAAACTAAAACTGCCAGTAGGTGGTTGTAAATGTCATCTAGTCATTCATTCATTTGATTCGTTCAAACGGCTGATTCATTCAGGAGTGAAGTAAATGGTTCTCTTTATGAATGGTCCATTGAATCATTAGGCTTGTTCGACTTGAAGCGGATCATCACCATCAGATCGATCGGTGTGTGACATCAAAGTACCGCGAGAGCGATTAGAGAGCAGACGACTCTGCATGCTTGTGTGAAGCCCATGTTCTTCTCCTGTGGCCTGATAAATGACTTTGGTAAATCCCCACATACAGCAGAAAGACATGCGTTATATTGGGCCTCTGCTGCTGCATTTATATAGAACAATCTCAACACCCACCATACGAACAGCTCCATGTGTTCATGAGGGCAGGATGGTGTGGGTTAGTGTTTGTGGGGTATCTTTATGAATGGTTAATTGAATCATTCGTCTTGTTCGACTTGAAGCGGATCATCAGCAGCAGATCGATCGGTGTGTGACATCAAAGTACCGCGAGAGTAATTAGAGAGCAGATGACTCTGCGATGCTTTTGAATCGCTCTCGCGGTGCTTTTGATGTCATACACCGATCGCTCTGTGTAGCGCCGCTTCAAATCCAACGCGCCTAATAATTCACCCAATTCATTCAAAACATATATATCATTATATAATATCAATTCATATATATCATTATATAATAATGATATATATTTATTTTGTGGAAACTGTGATACATTTTATTTTTCAGGATTCGCAGATGAACAGAAAGTTCAAAAGATCAGCATTTATTTGAAACCAAAATCTTTTGTAACATTATAAATGTCTTTACGTTTGATCAATTTAATGTGTCCTTGATGGATAAAAGTATTAATTTTTCAGGAAATCTTATTTATATATTTATAAATGTATTTAATATATTTTATCATATTACTAATGATTTTTTATTTTATTTTAAGCCCAGTATATTTAATTTGCGTTGCATTTAAATGCATCCTTTTAACACAGATTCTTCTGACTGTTTTCATTTAGACACGGCGTATTAGAGCAGAAGTAAATTAATCTTCAATTCACCTGTTGTTTTCACCATGCAGATTTGTTTTGATAAATATTAATATTTATTTCGATATTAGAGCACATATGAGGAAACGTCACCAAACAAGAAAATTTTTCATTGTGATCTAGTGTGTCGTGTGTGTGTGGATCTGATCTTCTGCTCTCCAAACATGAAGCCAACGGCATGTTGGAAATGCTATTTGTGCTAAAAGAATTGCTGGTGAACTTTATACTGTAGAAACCTAGTGGCATTGTATTACAAACACTAAACTGTTAATTGTTTTATGCTGCGATTTATCACAGTTTCACACTTTAAACCCCGCGGATCTGGTTTTATGAGCTGCTTTGTGTTTTGCGTGTTTGTTCTTGTCGGGATCGGAATCATAATCTGTGTCTTCCTCCAGGTTCAGGATGAAGGGTGGAGGTTTGGCAGGGAGCTGCAGCCCCTGTTAGATTCACCGCCTCACCTTCGTCATCATCATCATCATCATCATGGCCAGTCACCTGGAGCTGCTGACGGAGCTTCAGCAGCTGGATAAGGTGCCCAGTCTGGAACGGCTCCGGGCCGCGCAGAAGCGTCGCACGCAGCAGCTCAAGCGATGGGCCATCTACGAGAAGGAAATGCAGAACAAGAAGCGCAAGGCCGACAAACGCCGCGGTCACGGGAACCTACGGGAGAACCACAGGAGGGTTTCGTTTGCGGCGAGCATCGCTCTGCTGGAGGCCTCGGCGAGGAACGATCCGGATGAAGGTGAGGCCGGGACACACATGCATGGGAAGTAGGGATGTAACGATGTGATCAATATCATGATATCGCGATATTATCGTGGTCACATGACGGTATGAAACAATAGGCCTTCCGGGCAAAAAGTGTAGTTTTTAACATATATTTGTTTCATTATGCTTTGGCACAGTATCTGTCAAATGAACTAAAACCGAAAGTGCAATATGGCTTAATCCCTTCATCAAGTCTGGTTTCAAAGCGAAGCGCACACTTCGTTCAGACGTTAAAATCAAAGGGTGACGGGGCTTTCTCAGTGGCTGCTCCTCGATATTGGAACCAATGCATATTAAATGTTCCCCATCTGTGGATGCTTTTAAGTCTAGATTGAAATCGTACCTTTTTAGTAGAGCTTTTATCTATTTAGATCAGGTTTTAAATTTTAATGTTTAATTTTGTTTGTGTGACTGTAGGTAATGATGCTGGAATGCACTTGTTGTTTTAATTGTGCTATAAAAATAAAGTTTGTATTGTATTGAATGCATGTGTTGGGAAATGCGCTGCGACTGCAGTTGAGGCTGGATTTGCTCGGCTATAATCGCCAGGATTATGCTCTGCTAGATGGAGCTGTTTTTGCCCGCATTAACCCGTATTGATTAAGAGTTTTGGATTCATTATGACAGATGGAAGCGCTTCATGCACGGGTTTATCCGGAGCTGCTCGCATTAGTTTGCCGGATAAAGCAAAGCTGCTAATATGACTGAGCTGTTTCTGCTTGTGCTGGTCGTGTAAGAGAAGCAGACGTGTTTTCATTCCCTGAAACTTTGCTCATTTCACGTTACTGCGTTTCACACATCAGTCGTGGCATCAAGTAATAATTAATCCTCCTGACTACAAATTGATTACTTTGCTAACCCAAGTTTATGATGAGTCTAGATTCTGTAGAAGCTCAATACAAAAGAGAATGTTGTTTGCTGGTTTCACAGCTGCAAAGAAGACAATACAGAACTGGTTTACACCGCACGTGTGTGGAAAAACATATGTGACTCTGGAGCACAAAAGCAGTCATAAGTAGCACAGGTATATTTGTAGCAATAGCCAACAATACATTGTACATATTTCTTTTATGCCAAAAATCATTAGGATATTAAGTAAAGATCATGTTCCATGAAGATATTTTGTACATTTCCTACCATAAATATATCAAAACTTAGTATTTGATTAGTAATATGCATTGCTAAGAACTTAATTTGAACAACTTTAAAGATGATTTTCTCAATATTTAGATTTTTTGCACCCTCAGATTCCAGATTTTCAAATAGTTGTATCTCAGCCAAATATTGTGCTATCCTAACAAACCATACATCAATGGAAAGCTCATTTATTCAACTTTCAGATGATGCATAAATCTCAATTTTATCAAATTGACCCTTATGACTGGTTTTGTGCTCCATAGCCTCCTTAAAACAGTGACTTGTGAATGTACAACAGCACGAATTAATAAAGCCAAACCTAGTACTATTGATGCTTGGCAATGTTTTTCCTCTAGCATACTTGATTACATAAAGGAGTGAATTTTTTTCTCCCCTTTTTTCTCTCTCCTCTTTGACTGGACTCTTTGAATTGTTGATTGTATGTCTGTTGTTTTTTTTGTTTGGTTTGAATGGATGCTATGATGTTATATGTAAAAGACAATAAAAAGTTGATCACAAAAAAGTAATTCACTAATGAGGAGATCAAATCGCGTCATCTCATATTTACTAATCACATTAAAGCGGGTCGTGACCTCAGAGATACCATGGTAAATGAGCAGCTGCTGATGGACACCTAGAGATGATTCAACAGATGCAGGAAAGAACAGACCAATCACAATTAATTATGCAAATAAATGCAGTATGCATTATTGATGTTGTGATGTCATCACAGCTGTCAATCATTCTCTCAATGAGAAACGTGACTCTTAAAGGATCAGTGTGCATTTGTCACATGACAAGTGTTATTTTAATATAATTAAGATTCTATTATACTTTTTATTAATATTTTGAATAGTTTTTTATTTTATATTTTCCAGTTTAGTTGTTATTTTTGTTTTTGTCATTTTTATTTTTTTAAATTGTCTTCATAGTTTATATTAATTTTAATTTCAGTTTTAGGTATTTTAGTACATTTTAAAGTAAATGTAGTTATTTTAGTGTGTCAAACTAAATTAAAATGAGAAATGGTGTCAACTTGGCATTTGGCAAATTAAATGAAATAAAAAAATAAATAAGTAAAAAAAAAAAAATTATTTCAGGTAATGTTTATTTAATTTCAAATAACTAAAATGTTAATAGTTGTTGTTTTAGTTGTAGTAAACTGTAATAACCCTTTATAATAACTGTAATAATCTGAGGAAAATCATGAGACATCTCCAAACAAAGGTGTAATAAGTCAGTGATGTTATTATTGATCTGTTAATCCACTTAATTAAACCTGAGTTATTGATTGTGAGCTTTTCATTGCTGCTGTTGAGTCGCTCTAGTGAGTGTGTGTGTGTGTGTGTGAGTGAGTGTGTGTGAGTGTGTGTGTTTGATTGTGTGTGTGTGTTTGATTGTGTGTGCGTGTGAGTGTGTGTGTGTTTGATTGTATGTGTGTGTGAGTGTGAGTGTGTGTGTTTGTGAGTGTGTGTGAGTGTGTGAGTTTGATTGTGTGTGTGTGTGTGAGTTTGATTGTGTGTGTGTGTGTGAGTTTGATTGTATGTGTGTGTGTGTGTGTGTGAGTGTGTGTGTTTGATTGTGTGTGAGTTTGATTGTGTGTGTGTGTGTGTGAGTGTGTATTTGTGTGTGTGTGGGAGT